CTAGCTGTATAGAAAATAAGATCATTTATTTCAAGCCTGCTGAGCCTTCTGAAAAATTCAGCCATTTTTCAGGAATTGGAAGAGAAGCTGAAGAGCGAGAAAGAGTTGAGAATGCGACTGGAGAAAGATCGTGCCGCCATGCAGCAAGAAATTGACGAGCTGTTCAGCGTGAGTGACTTGTTTGTTTCCCAGAAGTTTTTGGCGTCTTATAGTTTACACATTTTCATTTCGCAATCCATTAGAGTATGTTGAGTCATCGCACGTCAAGGGACGGGCGCTAGTGCCGCCCCCGCCGCACTCCACGTTCTAATGGTAAATGGAGCTTGCTCGATTCGCTAGTAATAGTCCCCAGAGTGCCTTTTGAGTATCGTGGCGTTCTGTAGAACAGTGGGGGCATGGAACTGGAAACTCTGTAGAGCCCTTGCGATCAAGCGTATGGATTAGAATTAGTTCTGATTAGGCAAATGAAGCTTTTCTGATTTGGATACATATAGTGAGACCAGTATTGTGACGTCCAGTTTGCATTTCAATGGTCAATAATTGTCTGAAATTGTTTACTGTCTAATACTGAAGTAGACGTCTTTTTCGTACTCCATGTTTCTTTTCTTTTCAGAAGCATACGAAACTTCAGCGAATGCAGACCACGGAAAGCGGAACCCCAACCATTCAGGTTTGATTTTCGGTTATATGATAAAAAATGGCCTGGGTCAACTCGCGAGATTCCGTTTTTCTTCTTGGTACTAAATTGATGTTCAAATAGCCGTGGAAGTCTTTCCTAATTAATAAACCTAGTGCGATGCCTGGTGCGCTACTGCCCAGCCTTCTTCTCACCTGTGCTTACTGACTTCTCATGACTTGTGAGATGTGCAGTCATGAAGATGGGCATAACATTCAACACTTAGCAATCTCCAAGTTCTCCCTTCTTGTAACCTCGGCATGATGTCGAATATTTAGTTACTTCTGCCGTTTTCAGAAGCCATTTCCAGACCTCTGAAGAAGACGAGAAGGTCGAAACGTCGGGCCAATAAAAAAGGTTCTAACTAATAACCTCGTTCGGCAGAAATAACTAAATATTTAACACTTAATTTTTGTAAGATTTTTTTCCTGAAGGAAGCTCGTAGGACGAGATTTCAAGTTCTGTTGTGTACCAGTGTATCCAAGTCAGGATCAGGTATACGGTACAATGTGAGGGGACTGGATTGCAATCTGGGTGCAGGGCACTGAACCCGTGTTTTGGCTTTGGAACCCACATTGGGAGGTAATAAGTTTCAGTTTGCCGCTTGACAAGTAGGGCCTTAAGAAAAAAAGTGGGTATTCATCTGGCGCTTCGAGAGAATAGGAGAATCGACGGAACAATGTTTTTAGAGAATGCGTGCTATCAGAAAAGAGTTTCGGGCGCAGTCAGTCGACGTTGGGGGGGGGGCATTCGGCTTTTCATAGATGTGCCGACCCATCTAGGTAGCCTTTTCTCGAGTTGACACGTTTTAGGATGGTGGCTAGACGATCTTACTCCAGCTTCACAGGCGTTCACAAGTTTTACCATGGTGAGATTCGTAAACCGGAACTAGGGAAGCAATGTTAGTACAAAATGCCCCCGTCGCTAAACAGCGCCGAATTTCGTTCTCGATCTGGCGTTTCCAGGGGTACGTGGCAAGAGAATCGTAATTCGCCGTGCTGAAAGGCGTCACATGCGATGTCGCGCCAGCAGATGACAAGGGTCCCAGGTCTCAGATGGCGACAACAGGCAATTCGGAACTGAAAATTGCCATAAATGTCTACAGTTTCGTAACCCATGGATCCAGCGCTCCAATCGATAGGCTAGCACGAATTAGGAAAACGTCGCGCCCAAAGCCGCGTTACGATTCCGTTTCGAGAGATTAGGCCGCGCTCATATTTTGTGGCAGCTTCACCAGCGACCAATAGAGTCCACCAGCCTTCAGAGCGTTCGGCAGCGACAAGGAATAGTATAGATGAGATTTAAGAATCTATCTGCGCCACGACTGGGAAAGCATAGATATCGATCCAGCGAACGGCAGTGTCCAGCGACTAGGAAAGCATGGATATCTATCAAACGAACGCCAGCATCCAGGAGTGGGAGTATGGGAAGTAGGAGGGTAGCAGACTGCTGGCTAAGGCGTCGTGAAATGCGGCGTGTGCAACCCTCGTGTACTACTACCCAACACAACATCGTACACTATATTGAGTAATTCTGTGCTTTAGCAGTTATGCGGTGCGATTGCGCGCGCCGCAATTCCAGGACGCGTAATGCAGCTGTCTACTTCCTCCTACATTCCCGTACTCCTCACCTGGTCGCTGTTGGACGCTGCCGTCAAGTATGAACAGAGCTCCAGGAAAATCAGCCGGTCCACGTTCTGGAGGAAAGCGAATTCTCCAGAAATATCGATTCGCTGATTCCCTTATTTTACTGTCGCAGATATGAGCTCGCCCTGACAAAGCGCGCCGCGTCAAGATTACCAACAAGTATTAGGTTGATAAGAAAGTGATGACCCATTTAAAAAAATTTTCTGCTTTATTTTAGTACTCAGCATACAATGCAAGCTACTCAACAATATAATCACCATCATTAGTGACAACAGTCTCCCACTTAATGGGCAGGTCAGCGATCCCCTTCTCCCAGAACTGAGGAGACTGGGAGTCGAAGAAGTCACTCACCGCCCGTTTCACATCATCAACTTTGGTGAATTGTTTCTTAGCTAGAAAAGCCTTAAGGGGACGGAACAAGTGGTAATCTGAAGGAGCTAGGTCAGGGGAATAGGGCGGGTGAGGGACAGTTTCCCAGCCCAGCTCCTCCAGTTTTTCCCGGGTCTCCTTTGCTATGTGGGGTCGGGCGTTGTCGTGCAGAAGGTGGACCGAGGCCCGTCTCGGCCGTTTTTCGCGAAGAGCTTCGGCGAGTTTGCCGAGTTGGCGTGCGTAGATGGGCCCGGTGACCGTCTGGCCTTGCGATAGCATCTCGTAGTACAGCATACCGCGCGCGTCCCAGAAGCAGCAAAGCAGACACTTCTGCGGGTGGAGATCGGATTTTGCTTGCGTAGGCGGCGATTCTCCTTGCGGGAGCCAGAACGCGCGGTGCTTATTGGCGTTGTAGAGGATCCAACTCTCGTCTCCAGTAACCAAGTCGGCGAGAAACTCCTTGCGCTGGGGGCGGAGGAGTAGTGACTGACAGATGGCAACCCGAGTCAACCGCGCATTCTCAGTCAACTCATGAGGGATCCATCGTGCCAGCACTTTCCTGTACCCGAGAGCGTGAAGGCGGCCGACTGGTTGAGTACACCCAAGTCTTGTCGCAAGACTGCGGGTGCTGAGTTCCGGATCCTCCTTGACGGCGTCGAGAATGGCGAAGTCGTCGACTGTGTGGGGGCGTCCCGACCGAGGCTTATCTTCGAAGTTCGTGTCTCCTTCTTCGAAGCGAGCGAACCAGCGCTTGACCGTGCTAAGAGAAGTGGTGGAGTGCTGAGAGAAGGACGTGTCCAATTAGCTCTTGTGTGATTGCCATCGTGATTAAAGCTATAGGAAGCAGCCCAGCTTTATATACCCATTATGGAGAAGGTTCGAGAATGTTCTACAACTACCACTTGCTTGGTCATCGATATCGACCAAGATTCCAAAGTTCTCGAAATTTCAAAAAATTGGGTCATCTTTTTTATCACCCTAATACATAACATCTTAGGTGTCGCTAAAGTGAGCGGTACAGTATTGAAGAAAAACGAAGACTGATTGCAATTATCAGACTCTATCACCCCACCCCCCTAAAGCACATTCTACGATCATAACATAGCTCCACCTATTGCTCGTTGGGTGACTAGTTGTAGGCTCACTATCTCAAAGGACGAAAACATTTCCCTGTTCAAAACATTTTGAATGGTGTCGGGTTTTGTAATTTTCGCACAAAAATCGCATATGAATTCGTTGAGCCCAGCATATTTTTGGAGATTAGTTATACAGCGACCGAGAGCGTTTTATTCTATCGATTTATTTCCTGCAGGTTTCTACGAGGCCAGGCCACTGTGCTAGTTCCCTTTTAGCCATTGAGCAGTTATCGATTACCGATCCATTTCAGGTCATTCTGCTGGCTATCGCGGCTCTCTTGGTCGGGCTAATTATTGGCAAATTATTCTGAAGTGTGGAGTAGCTGATCTGACATTCTCAGACCGTGTCAGTCGTTCTGTCCACGACTCTGCCTTGTACCCACTATTCCCCGTTACTTTCGTTTTGGTTCGAATAGATGCAATTATCAATACTCAGTTTAGTTCATTGTACTACACAGATAGTTTCGCTACAAAATAGAATTCTCTGCTTATACTCTCTTTTTTTTCTTTTCTCTCTATTGTTCGGTGAGTTTTCCTCCTGACCATGAGGTTTGGTGTAGTGCAGTCGTGAAGTTACGAATTCACAAATCTCAGAAGTTAGCCCACATCATATTGTCATCGGTTGTTGATCATCCGGTAATAGCAAATTTCTAGGAGACTGACTGATTTTTATTCGCGTTAGGTGGTTTACTTAACTGAAATCGTTTTTTTTTCTTCTTCCGTCATTTAATATGAAGTTTATCGTCATATGTAGTGTTGCGTGGGTAACGGTGACACTTCTGTGTTTCTGTATAATTCGCCTGCTTATGTAATTGTGCTACCAACAGTTTGTATATGTAAAATTCTATTTATTATATGAATTTCGCATTTTATCGGTGTTTTACTTGGTGATACGTGGGGTTAATACCCTGATTATATACTGTTCTGTTTTATTTCCGTTAGGCCGCATTCATACTTTGCGACTGAAGAATTTCGGCGATATGAGAGATGATGCAACGAGGAGCTTTAGTTTTGATCTGGCGATTGCGGAGACTGATGACTGGCTATCTGCGAGACCCGTCGCGCAATCTTTCCAATCCCCGAATCTCCTCAATCGCGAAGTATAAACACAGCCTCTCGTATTAATTTTTTTTGCTTGGTGTACGTTTACGAAAATGTATTTTTTAGTTACTGGAATAGCTCAAAAGATGTCAGGCAAGAAGAGAAGAAATATCGAGACAACAGCAGAGGATCTCTCTGGAGTTGAATTTGAGAGCTCTGAGGAGGTGGAAGTTATCCCAACTTTCGATGGCATGGGATTGAGGTGAGAAGCGGCAGCGGTTGAATTACCTTTTTTGCCACGGAATCGCTAGTACCGTAGTGATTGTCATAATCGTTAGCTTTTTCGGGAAAGGGGTGCCGTCAAAATTTGCGAAAGGATCTCGAATCATACTGCATTCCAATCGTTTTAGGGAGCCGCTGCTTCGTGGTATTTACTCGTACGGTTTCGAAAAACCGTCTGCAATCCAGCAGCGTGCCATCAAGCCAATCATGAAAGGTCGTGACGTTATAGCGCAGGCCCAGTCTGGTAAGTGATAGATGTGTTATATACAACATTTCGTGTTATTATAGATAGAGATGAGAAGCTCAGACTAACGGGTGTGACCGACTTGACAGTTGTCCTTGTCACGCTGTAATTCGCGGCACATCGTGGGGCGATGCGCGGCAAATTCTCAGTGTGCATCAGTTCGTTGAGTAAAGCAGCGAATTTGTTGTGAATTCAAGCGAACGAGTCTTAACTTACGAATTATACAAATAATTTTCCCTCTCCTTCTCATTTCAAAATAGGTCAAGCGGGCATATTTATATTGCCTTGTCACATCTCTGCTTGCTCAAGAGCCACCCTGGAGCTTTCCCGCTGTCAAAATAGCGCTGAACGGCAAAGCTGTGGGGCTGTCACAACTGAGAAGTCCCTTCGGCCTTATCGATAACATCTCGAGAACAAACGTTTCTTTCATCTGGCAAAAGTCACTTTGAAATATCGTCAATAGAGATCAGACAATGAGAAAGCTTCTTATTTCTGTTTACGGTAAGAATATACAATGAGGTGGGAGCCTCGAAAAATTCGTTGATTTCATATGTTTAAGTGTTAATGCTCCTTTCCAGGTACCGGAAAGACTGCGACGTTCTCGATTTCGGTGCTTCAGTCAATTGACACGGATCTGAGAGAGTGCCAGGCTTTGATTCTTTCACCGACTCGTGAATTGGCTGTACAGATTCAGAAGGCGAGTCTTTTTTACAATTAAATGGGAGCTTGCACAATTCCCGCGATGGAGTCCGTTTGGTTAAAGTAGAGGTAAACAGTTTACTCAGGAAACTACGGTCGCAGGAGTTACCGGTAATTCATTTTCTTACAAGACTCTAGAGTTCTTGTAGTAATCCTGCGACCGTTTCAGCAACCACATTTCATTCGGTAGTTAACTTTAGAGGGAGAGCAATAACGAATAGAGGTAGTGTTACATCAATGTTTCGCTTCCCAATCTGAATTTGCGGCGTTTTCGAGTCGGTGCTGTATGTAATTGCGTCCGTCTGTCTTACAAAAATCACAGGGTGGGAAACTTTTTGACGTTCATGTCTCTCATACTAGTCGTGCCTCCTTTTTTCTTCGTCCCCGCCCTCATTTTTTTCTTCCTTCTTCATTCTCCTCATACCCTCTCTGCCCAACGGAAGATGTGTTGAGAAAATAAATCTAGACCTCGCAGCTATAAAGCATCCGCCCGTCAGAACATCTGTATTTTGAGCGTAACGAGCTCTAAAAGTTTTGTTTCTTCATTGTTCGTGGTAAAGTATTCAATTCCAGGGTCGTTGGTTTTGCTTCTTGGGAAGATTACATTGGACATGTGCAAGGCCATGCCATGTTATTGGTGCGTGACGGCACCATTCGGTGAAAGACATCCGTTTAAACTGGACTATGCGACAGCCATGTGCTAATCGGAATCATATGAATAATTGAAAATTTTGTGTCGATTTCCCAGTATTACAGTAAGCTGATAGGAAGCTACAGTCGTAGCTAGATCTCGCTTTTCTTTCTAGAAATTGCTGCGGTGTTAATTGTGTTTAGTAGCGAAGCTATTTTTCGTGTGAAAGAATTGCTTTAAGGTGTCGGGTACTCCCGGTCGTGTGTTCGATATGATTCGTCGTCGTAATCTCCGTACACGCTCGATTAAACTGCTAGTTCTGGACGAAGCCGACGAGATGTTGAATAAAGGATTCAAGGAACAGCTTTATGATATCTATAGATATCTTCCACCTGGCGCTCAGGTAATATCAACTAAGCGAAAAAGGCTTTCATTGATCATGACTAATTCTAGAGTGATTTGTAGTCGTTTTTGCTGTCTGCCACACTACCTCACGAGATTCTCGAAATGACCAGTAAATTCATGACTGATCCTATCAGAATCCTCGTAAAACGTGATGAGTTGACATTGGAAGGCATCAAGCCAGGTTCGTTTTATTCACCTATTATTTTTTTAATTCGGCTTGTCAACCGTGATTTTCCTTGCACAGCCGTAATGGGAACTGGCCCACTTACATTGCCGCCTGAAATCAGCACCTTCAGTTCTTGTCGCCTAGGTGCCATGTGAAGAGCTGGAAATTGATACGCTCCTGGCGATCGGTAAGCGACACGTCTCACCATACACTCAAGCCCAGTGCTTGTCGCAATACTCGTAGATAAAGTAGGATGTGATCCTTTATGGTAAGTCATAATTGTGCGGCAAACCAAAGCTTGGTTCAGGTTTGCCGCGAGTCAGCTGGGAGATGTTAGTGAGAATATAAATAGGGATTTAATCGACTTTGATTAAATCTATCGGCCTATATAATTCGTTACGTAATCACGGTATTCTGTGATATCAAGCAATTCCGGGGGGGCTGCGGGGCGTGATGGAGTACGACTGCGTCGCCTAGAATAACTGAGACAGCCATAACATTTACAATCCTTTTTACAGTCTACTCACAGTCAGTTTGAAAGTTTGGGAGGAGTTTAGGTAGGGTTCCAGCCCAGGTTTTAGTGGACAGTTCACAGGGCTGCCCGATCTGTGAAGAATTCGCTAGTATTGGGAGAAGCAGCATGAAGGTGCTGGCCATTATGATCGTGAAAAACCCGGTCAACACGCGTGTGTCAGATGTGATGAGAGGTGGCGCCATTATACAATATGCCGGCATACAGCTGCTGCCACTCTGGCGAATTCGAGTACACCTAAAAGTTTGTCTAATTAATTTATGTTGTGCTTTGTTAATCGACAGTCGCGTGAGTCGGACGAGGGCCGCATCAGCGTCTACCGCTGCAACAAATTAGATAGCATTAGTAGGAGATTTTTTACTGACTCTGCCTAAGGAATCGGCGGAATCGCACTGCCAAGCTGGCTGTTCCGCATCGCGTCGGCTGGTTCTCTCTCCCAATTCCGAATAATATATCTTAACTACGTGCTCGCTTTTGGGGTCCGATAGATTTCCCCACCCGATTCGCTGATTACTCCCTGGTCGATGCATACTGAAAAAATCATTTGGCACGGACCTGCTCTTATTTTCGCCCCCATTTGAGGCATGCTGTCTTCACGGGTTTAAGGAATGCCCAGTTATTCTCCAGCCTCTAAATCATTTCGACCTGCTTGTATGTCTTATCATTCTCCAATCCGAGATTAGAGCTCACAAATCCTGAGTGTACAAGCGCTTTACTCCCCAAATGAATGCAATCCTTTTTAGCCCGAATTATAGGCTCAAATGAAACAGAACCGTTTATTAGGTAAACCCATTAAGAACTTCTCTAGTGATTTCCTCAGAGTTCAATAAATATCCTTATGATCCATGCTTCTGGCAAAATTCAGGGGCCATTTTTATTTGATCGACCTTATGGGCGTTTTTGCAATAGTTGGGAGTGCCCCGAAAATTGAATAGAAAGTTACTAAACCCTGGAGGTTTCCTTTAACGTTTCCTTTTTAGTTGTAAATCATTCGATCCAAATTAAGTCCGTAGATCAATACCTTACTGAATGTTGCCCTTCCCCCTCCTCGCATTAGACCATGTTCGTCAAGTTAAATGGTACTCCCTACTCCCTGAACTGTTTCTATACCTTAGTCGAATCAGAGCTAGGATCTTTATTATTAAGCATATGTCGTACTGTTCGTGTATATTCGTAATCCGATGTTATGTTTTTGGAATGGCTGCAGAGAATGACATGACAGAGCGAATTTTGGTAACTAGTCCATGTTTCCATAAGCTATGCTTATCTGATCTGGATATTTGTGAGACAGGAATTAGTTAATTGCGTGTAAGGAGCGTGAACAGATTATGAAGGTACCGTATCACTTCTAGATTACCATTTATTTTACAGAATAATCATATTCCACGTGTTTAGGAATTCCGAGCAGGAAACAGTCGAGTGTTGATTTCGACTGATGTGTGGGCACGAGGTCTTGATGTTCCTCAGGTTTCCCTCGTAAGTCATCTTCATGTTAATCAATTTTGGCACCTATTTTGCTTTATAATGTGTGCTGTGGTTTCAGGTTATCAATTATGACCTCCCAAATAATCGTGAATTGTACATTCATCGTATTGGTCGCTCGGGTCGATTCGGAAGAAAGGTTAGTGCGGTCAACATTCGATGACATCTGACTGTCTAAAGGCACGCCCTGCGTTCATATGATGTTCAGACGCCTTCTTTGCACGCGATAGTCCTGCCCGCAAGCATGGAGTATGTGCTACAGCGGAGCTAGCACGAGATACGTACGAAACGCGCCGCCAAAACAATCGTAGTGTGCTACGCTGGTGGGCGCCTAACAGACGTGTTGTTCTGCCTGGTCATTTTACTTAAGTTTTAAGGCGTACGGCGCGAAATTATTTATGGTCGCTCGTCACGGAGTTGCACTTCGCTCACGGGCTCCATTGACAAACTATTTGCACGGACGCCGCCCACCAGTTATCGGTTGCGCAACAAACGAGGGCAGAGGGCAAGAGGAATCGTTTCGCCGACCCCCGCCGCGCGTCGGCGTGGGCGCGTTCATTAATCATTGTAAACCATGTTCGATGGATAACATCGGACTTCATTTAGACCCCGTCGTCGTAGACATTCATGACTAGTTTCGGTTCTGAATTGTCTGTAGTTGCCATCTACTACCTGGAAGCATCGTCATTTGCGGGCGCGACGTCGCACGCGATACGCCCACCAGCGCTACGAATTACGATTCTCTTGCCACATACCCCAACGGAACCACGTCCAAGCATACGCCCCGATTTTGCCCTTGCACGTACAAATGCGGTTTGACATAGGGTTCTATTTCGGGGTGCGGGTTTTTAGAATTTTTCTTCAGTCGTCGGTATTGAGCTGCGCACCATTCGCGTCTTAGAACATGTACCTCCAGGGCGTGCCTCCAATTCTTCTGCCTTTGTCCCCATCTAACTGGGTTATGAACAGACATCTATGCCCAGTTTAATGCAATTGGTTTATTACATGGGTGTGGCGATCAACTTTGGAAACACGATGATGTACGTATTCTTCGCGATATTGAACAGTACTATTCGACGCAAATAGATGAAATGCCGATGAATATCGCGGACATGATCTAATTTGTTTTTAATATTACTGTGGTCATTGTTGTTGTTGTATATGAAATCATCTACATCAAGTACATAGTGTGTTTCTAACTCGTCAATTTGTTCGATTTGTACAATTTATCCCATGGAATTACAAATTTAACTTCACTGTACTGTGTTGTGCGTAGCAGTTCGTTTTTTCCACTTCTCGCTATGAAACCACAACAATCCGTGTCTGCTATTGATCGCGGGGCGGCCGTGAGAAGACTTGCTCTTTGTGTGTTTATGGCGCGTCAGCTCCTATCCCTCCTTGGCTACTCTTTTGTCACCACCCCTTTATCCGTCTTTGATGTTTTTTCTCGTTAAAAAATTGCTATTCCGAGTTAAAATGTTAAGAGTAATTTGTCCACTACAAAGACATTTTGTTGAATGTCAATAATATATTTTAGACGAGCTATTTGTTCGGTGGAGCGCTGCAGCATATTATATGGACCGTAAAAGGGACACCGGGGGTGTTGAATTCTAACCGAGCGGGGATCTTGCAAAGTTTTTTCTAGGAAACAATGTTAAACTTGGTTTCAAGTGGACTCACATGGCGTGAACCTACCGTATGAGATGTCGGGAAAGTGGGGGTTTGCAGAGGGCTTGTTCCGTAATATCGAACCAATATGATGGAATATTTATCTTTAATACAGTTTTTTTCACTTCTTCAATTAGCCTAAATGAAGTCAGGAGAGTGGAGCTTTAAGGGACATGTTTGCCTTTGCGAAAAATTCTCGGTTTTTGACTTTTCACATCGTTTTGACGTCGCAGGTTGTGGGGCAGAGGGAGGAGGGGAGGAGGACGCAGCACGCTTTCCTGTTCCAAGCATGCTGCGTCCTCCCCTCCTCCCTCTGCCCCACAACCTGCGAGACGGAAGGTTATATTTTTTAACTTAAAAAACTTTGAATGTAATGGGAAGTTGGATTAAGTAAGGGATCGCTTTATTCGTGAAATCTTTAATTTCCCACCACTTCTTGTACATCTCATTCTTCTGTATCTATGTCGGCGAGAAGGTTCAGTCGTGCATATACGGTTTGACAAGCCTTCTCAGCCTTCTCTCGTTCTCGAAGACGCGGTTATTGCCGAACAAAATAAGTTATACAAAAACGTAGCTTAACCGAAGATATATACGCAGTAATGTCACTTCCTGGTTCAACGATTGGTGCAGTACGGGTGCGCGGAGACCGCGCCGCACGCAGCCGCACTGACATTGACTATCAAGTGCAAGGATGACGACTGTACTTCCTGTTTCTGCAGCCCTCAGCATTAGTACCGGAACCAGATTGTCCTCTGATCGCTCAATATGTGTCACTCCTTTTATGGAAATATACCCGTAACGACATACACACGCAGCGTAGTTGTAGCTAATTTTGGAGGTCTGCCGAGATACGCGAAAATCTTATTGTTTGAAATTGATTGCTTTGGAATTTTAAGAGCTCAGTGGTTACACGTCAGATTGGGCGTCACCGGGCTTGAGTCTCTTCGACCATTAAATATTATGAAATATCTTGAAAACTGTGCGAAGCTTTACTCCATTTTGGTTGCGTTAACAATATGCCATTTCTGGTGCAGTAATTTACGAGGGTTCCTCGATGTCCATGTCACGTATGCGATTCTCCCTCTTGGCGCCGGCGCTATTTCGCTTCCGCTCTTTCGACCATATTCGCCACAAACCGACGCATTGCAGTGAACCAGCGCCCTTCTCATACGTATGGCGTTCATTTTGGAGTGGTGCCATCTGACAGCATTCAACTTGTGACGATAGTAGGGCTCCTGCAGTAACCTCTATGCAGCTTTTGTGGGCCACGATTTACCTTTACCTATACGAACATGTTGCCTTTGCAAGCAGGAGCAAACATGGATAATGCTAGCATTCCTAGTAGCTCTTTTACTGTTGACGGAAATAGGTTCAAAGTTGTTGAGTGAAGTGAAACCCCCTCACCACTACACCGATCACAAGAGTTACATATGGACGGGCTATGTCACACTAGCAGAACCAGCCACAAGCCGTTTTCTCACTCTACCATTTCAAACGTTGATTTCCTAGGTCATCAGAGCGTGGGAGCATTTGAATCTATCTGCGAGACATTCAGATTATGTACAAATACCAAAGTCCATTCAGTTTTGGAACGCGACCCTATTTTGCGCTTTACTCTGCTTTATGCTTTTCCCCTAACTATGTTTTCTGTGAGCTGTAATTGTATTTGAAAGTGGTGGTCTGCTACTGAATCCGCATTTGTTCCACGTAACCATTAATATGGAAATCATACTTTAAATTTTCATAACACTATCACAGTTATTATGCAAATACAATTCAATATTACGCTGATAATAATATTACGTTCGTCATTCCAAACTTAAGCACTTGCTAGACATAATCCTGTTTTTTGATACCTCTTAACGTCTTGAAATTATGGTCTCAGTGAGTGGATTTCCGAAAAAGGAGTATGCGGTGGGTGAATTACTAACGAAGAAAGACCCCCTTCACTCCTCTCCCCCCCCCCCGACATCGAATTCCACTGTGAAATGGAACGCAAGGGAAGGGGGCTGACTCCCGTGTGCAAAGCGAGACCTTCGTTCGAGACCCCTGACTCCCTTATCACTCTCTTCCATGCCAACAAAGTGCGGAATGCTCACAAATTTCCAGTCGAAGCTGGAATAATCAAAGGTGAAAGAAAGAATGTTGAAGTTTCATGGCACTTAAATATAAGCTTTCACCTGAATTTACAGACCCCAGAAACGTTTCTACTTCTTTGTATGCAATATCTTCAGATTGATACAATTGCCGTATCCACAGGCGTTAGTGCAGAACTGGCCAGCCAATTCGGTTGATCCAGTTAAGTCTATTTACGGTGTTATTGACCGACATAATGGATTAGCTGGGTTCGCCGATTACCATGTCAACTCCTTCCCTCCTGCAAATACTAGTATGGTGCAAATACTGGTATGATGCAGATAAACCGATTTCTGAGAGCTAGGATGCTTGACTGATTTGCAGGAGTGTTACAGCGTATCTGAGGAGTGCGCCTGCTGCCAATGGACCATTTCGATAGATCTCTACAAATATGATTTGTTGAAGTTTACTTATCTTTGATAAGTTAAAATACAGAAATAGGTCAGTCAAGAGCAGTATCTTTGAATGGGGGAGTGCGCGATTCGATAGTCTCGCATCTTGAGAATGGTGACTCGTGAGAACGAATTTGCTAGTGGGTGAAGTAAATCAAATCGATTCCTGCTTAGTCCTTTGTCGCGCATTCTTCTAAATTCTAAATTTTCCAAACTGAAACGAATCCATTCATTTCGCCTCGATATTCCCGAACCCACATTCGCAGTGTATGAACACGGCTTCTCCGAATTTGCATGCCGAGTTACATTAATGCTTTGGTAGTAGCTTTGTGAGCTTCGAAATGTAGCCCAGATTGTCAGGGCCGAAACTGTTTGGGAGTATGTATATAGCTGCTAGGGTCATACGTTCAACTGAAAAACTCTGGTGGAAGTAGATTTAAAGCAGTGTAATGGATGTTCGCATGAGGGAGAAAAAAGTGAAGAGTGGAGAACTGCCTATCTTCAACTAATCTGCTCGAAATTGGGGAAAGCGCGATAGGATTTGGTTTGATTTGGCGATATTGGAAGAAGAAAACTTGAAGAGCTCAAAAGCGAAAATTGAACGTTCTTGCTATTTTGGCTTGGCATGAGACGAGCAAGAAAGGCGCCCAGTTTGCTGTTTACACGTTTTTTTTGCATTGGTGTCCTTGTACAGAAAGTTGCGTCGTTCTGGGTCAAATTGACCGCATACGGTTTAAAGGGAAGGCGGTAGAGTGGCACAGCTGTCAACTGTCATTCTTTTACTGGGACATTCACTGATCATAATTGCTGTCCATCCCTACCATGTAGCCTATCTTTTACGCTGGGCAACTAGTCCAGGTCACTCATCATTTTGATCCAAGTAATTGCATACATCAAGACGCCAGCACTTGTGTCGGGGTAGGTATTTGGTGACTTAACTACGCACTCTTGTTTGCTTCAGAGCTAA